GCGGCGGCAGCAGGCCCGGCCCCAGGGGCTCTCCCCGGCACAGCCCGGCCGCAGCCATTACACACCGAGCTGGTGCTGCAGCGAGTTCGGGTAACTTAAAAATGATATAACAGCGAACAGTGAGCGTGCCTGGAGTTCCGCGTTTATTTTACCTGTTCAAGTGACCGACATCCGTGCCCTCCGTCAGCTAAGAGCTTAACCCCTTCGCTTCTTAACATCATACTCCAAACCTGTACCAGCGGCCAAAAGCCTTGGAAATATTCAACCCCAAAACTATCTTAAAAATAGTTAAATTTTACTGCAACTAGCGAACTGGTGCCTCCAGTGCTTTGGGAACCAAAATTAAATTTCGTGGTTTTAAGTGGGAATGGGTGGTACATACAATCACACAAGACTCATTATCAATACAGTCTTAAGCAGTAAAATAAAACATTTAGACGTTTCCCAAAGGCATTTATTGCATATAGCATTTATTTTTTTCCTAATTAAAAAGTTTCCCGTAAGTATTAACAGCTAGTGCATTCAGAAATGTGTTTACCACATTACTCCATCATACCTTGGAACACAAAAACCAGAAGCTCATTTAAAAAGAAAGGATCATAACATTCTTAAGAGGTAGGTGAAGCGTCTTGTGCTTACATAGTTTTATATTAAAGGGGCAAAGGAAAACAGTCACAGCTGTGAAGAATATTAAGCCAGTTTAAGGCAGTTATATAATCTATGACTCACAATCTATGTTTTTGCAGGACTGCTGCAGCTTCATTTTGTTAAACATGACATTTCCCATATCACAGGTATTAAAGTTTACTAACGGACAATGTCTTAACCTTTCTGTCTACCATTTAATGGGTAGAGCACCCTACTACTCAGCATCTTTTTACTAAGGTGGCTGTGTTCAGATAACTGAATAAGAAACACTGCAGAACTACAGAGCTACTGGGAACGTAAGCATCTGCCTTTCATGAATATTTTTTATCATTATTAACTTGGAATTCCATGTCATAACTAACTAACTAGCAGCTGAGCAAGCTACAGTAAGGAGCATGGTAAGATAAGGATTTGACTTTTTGAAAGCACTCCAGTAGCTTCTTCTCAGATAATTTTCAATACTTTTTTAAAAAAAACCAACAACCAACCAACCAACACTCCAAAAACCCCAGTATGTTTAAATCAGAGTAATCTGGGCAGTCCAAATTGCAAAACCAAAAAAAAGATCTAGTTGAGCAAAGAATGGCTTTAACTTCACTGATCTCAGTCATGCTTGAAGGGAATGATGAAAAACTGTAACATGACTGCACCCTCTTACTTTTTTCCTGTTAGCTCAATATAGGGAACGAGATGTGATAAAGGAAACAATGTCGTTCAACTTCCAATTTTGAAGCTAGGAAAGCTGCAAAATCTGTCCTTCAGAATATGAATATTTAACTATTCCTTATATTTCACAGTGCTACTCTAACTAAAGTACAATTAAAGCACTTATTTCAGCCATCTCTGACAATGAGTCGGTGAAACAAATCCTATGGAGAATGACCTGCATCCACAAGGATTGAATAAGAATTCTCACTGAAAGCTTTGTAAGACTTCTGCGGTTACAAAAAGCACACAAGCTATTATCCCTCTCACCTCTATTCCTTGCACGAGACTTTTCTAAGAGAAGCTGGAATGACTTGAGAACTAGTAATCTCCAAAGACAACAGCTTTTGACAAGGGATGCATTTAAGCCACCTTTCTACATAAATAAAAACTGTATAAATCCATAGGATACACAGACAAGAAATTGACACTGGAAGAAATACACTTTTCAATCAAGAAACTTATTTCTTTGTGACAGGTTTAGTTTAGGAAGCACCCGCTCACAATGTCGTTCCATTATTTTCTGCTAACTACAGACATGTCAGCAAATGACACCAGTGAAGCTTACATACGACTAGGCACCAATGCCACCCTCTCCTCCCTGTGACACACTTCAAGGTCATTTCATAAAAGACTCCCTTACTGCCAACATGGAGTCTAGTCTTGAAGTCTGGCACAAATTAACTGTTGAAAGGTGAAGCTGTCATTAGAGCATTTAAGTGTATGATGCAACAAGCTTGCTGAAGCGTGCTCACAAATACAGGCTACATACCAATGTGTGCCACTCAGAATGGAACTGTTTCTCAGTACAAGGTTCCTCACTAGCAAGAAGTACTATTCTTCACTTGTTCACTGAAAATAAAGGGAAAAAACATGCCAAATTGTAGTGGTATGAACAAGGGTACATATTATTCTAACTAGTTCTAAGCATTTTGGAACCAATAAGTCTCCATTTTAACATCCCAGAACCTCAAAGACCTCAATCTGCTTCAGCGCTACATCCTTACACAACCCTCTCCATTACTTTCCAACAGAACCTGGCTTTACCGTACTACACAGAACATCAAGAACATTCAAGCAATGTAGAGTCTACGCACATCAGGTTTTAATGACACATTCTCCAAAATACCTTTGACACTTCTGAACATTTATCCTGTTGTAGAAATCAATTTACAAAATGTCACATCCACACACAGAGGGGCTCCTGCCCCAAACATCCCTACTTCCCTTGCGCACAACAATAACAAAAGGTAACTAGCGACTTATTACCATATATATGTATAAAAATAAACTAATGAGACTGCCAAATCAAAGGTATATTAGTGACTTCATTAAATTATTTTTTCTTGACAGGGCTCAAACTGTATTCTAGCAACATGAGTTTTACTTTTAGAAGGAAGTGCCACTGGAAGGTGAATTCCCTACAGTACTGTATCTTATCAAAAAGTGATTCCAATTTCAAAATAACTTATTAAAGTATGACATTCCAACTTTTCATGTTTTTAAATATTAAATATATTAAATTATTCCCTAGATTTAAAAAAAAGATAAGTTTGACAAAATGTTACCCATTTATGTTCAAGATAACTTTGGGACCTTTTTACTTTTTGTAAACATCCCCTTCACCGTTAACTGATGAGCTACAAAAAAGTCAGATGGGAATAATTCTTCAGTACACCTGCTTCTCAAGCTGTATATCTTTAGGGACAGAAGAACTGTTGTGCATATATTTATTCACAAAAACTTACACTAGAGAATAAACCATTAGGTAAGCCCGCACACATCTCCAAAAGAAAGAGTACTGCTGCTGCATGAAACTGTAGAATCACTTATCCACCAGGAAAGACAATAACAATCCCATCGTTTGATAATATGACCTATACAGAGGACTGGCTACTCTACACTGCACTATACACACAGGAAGCAACAGGACAGGTAGAACCACCATCCTGCCACTAAGAATATTATTTTACTGAGAAATACTTTTTTTAATTAGGAAAAATTTGAAATGAGATGATCACAATGCTTAGTATCTAGCTTAGGACCCACCCAGAACCACTAAAAACCAGGAAGGCTTACAGGCTTGCATGGTCATATGCCCCGCACTGTGGAAGTATCAGAAGTAAACAGGCTCTAAGTGTCCAACTTACTTACTGGAACTTGACATTAATCTGGGTCAACATCGAAATTGAAGCAGGAGATAAGACAGCCCCAATGACACTGTTCACATTTGTGTTCTGCTTTCAGAGCAAGATCCAAACCTGATGAAACGGATGCACTGCCCGTTGAAAGAGAACATCCCTCATATTAATCTCTTAGAAACTGTGATACAGAACCTACTATAACAAAAGTACCTAGATCTGAGATGAAAGTCTCTGAATTGCAGGCTTAAACTCCTAGAGACACGGGCAATTGGCCTTCATCTGACGTGAATATGCTCTCAAAGTCTACACTTGTATCATTAGAGACAGCAGATTAATTGTTAGTAAGTTTTGACCGTGGAAGTATCTCTGGACTGCTGTTTATCAGTGTCAGGTACTAATCTGGTTGAACGCAACCTTTTTTTTTTTTTTTTAAGAGACCTGTATAACACTAACTTTGAATACAATTGAGAACTGATATTTTTGGCATCAAGATAAAATTATGAGCACAATAAAAACAAAAGTGAAAATTTAATATATTTGCTACAATATTATATTGGTCAACTCCTGAATGGATTTATTTTATGGGGAAATAGCAATGTTATCAAAAGATGTTACAAACTTTTACAACATATCAACCAGTGCATTACTGTTGACCCGATAAACCTATAAACGCTACTTACGTGTCCAAGAACACCTCCTACAGAAACAAGTTTACTACCATTGTGGGTAGGAAAAACCCCTAACCTTTAAATAATTTATTTTTTTTGGTTAAGTGAAATTAGTGCTGGTATGACGTGCCAAACTAAGAGCTTTAGAAATGGATGTTTCTTCTACAAGGATGATACAGATAGCCTAGGACTTCCCATACCTCTGCAAACAACTGATATTATGGCTAGAACATTTATGTAACTTCCAAGCTTTACTGAATATGACCAGAGTTCCTTTTGTTTCCAACAGATACTCATCCAGGAGGAACTGCAATGTACTAATTTCCTACTGGTAGCTGAGATAGCTTTCATTTACTGAAGCAGAATCTACATTCACAACTTAAATTGAGAAAAGTCTGACATCCTACCAGTCATTCAAACAGTTCAGCTTCTATTGTGGCTTAGGCTTAAACCCTCTGGCCAACAGACTGAAGTTCACAGAACTGCAGTTCTGTATTCTGAAACACAGAGGAAAAGACACCAAAGTGCAAGCTCAGTCTAGTGAAGTAAATGAGTACTGCTTGTATTAGGTATGTGAACAAAAATAAGGATCTCCACACTTGTGAAAGGCTACATTATGTGATCGTTAATATCCAAACAAATTAAGGTTTCTGTGACAATGAAGAAATGCACTTGACCATTTACAGCAAAACAGATTTATACAATAACAAGTAACCTATGGCCTTGTCTCCTGCAAATGAATTCCTTCAGCAGGTATACATAATATATTGCTCAGTCATAAAAATATATATTATCTCTTTCCTTTAACATTTAGGTATATAAATATTTTACTGAAGAACATGCATCATTTAGATAAACAATTGCAAGAACATCCTCTGAAAACACAGGGTTCTGACACTTAGCAGTATAAAATGATTACACGGACACAGCTATTAAAGTCAAGACAAACCAATACAGCAGTAAGCAGTCCATTGTGTGCTAGTCCAAAGAAATTAAGCACCTTTTGCAACAGGTTATTATAATATATACACACAGAGAATGCATTGTAAATGGAGCAAAAATAGCATCATTCCATCTGCATATTCTTCAGTCTTGTTGACTCCAAACTTACTGTTCAGTTTTCTGCTCTTGTTTTCCGTTCAGCTCTTGGTCAACTCTGCTTAGCAAAGAAAGCAGTAAAATAAAAACTATGTTAAGAAGTAGTTTAATTTTATAGCTTATACACTAAGCAAAAACTATTTAACAGGAAAATACAAAGGTTTCACATGGAAAAAGTTTTAGTAAATAAATATTAAGATTTTTATTGAATGCAGTCACAACAAAGCTTTTTTTTTTTTAAAAAAAATGGTTCTCCTACCTCCCCCTAGAAATTAATTAAAATTGTTAAGAAAGCATTTAAGTAACTATAGCATTTGAAAGGAAGCATTTGAAAAGTGCAAGTGAAATTTGACTACAGAAGGAAAAAAAGCAGGTTCTGTGCTTTTATTAATGAATGCAAGCAGGAATACAAGTTTACAGGTAACATGACAATACCATCAAGCACTACTACTTTGATGAATTCATACACTGCAGAATAAGCACAGAATTACCTTTAATGTTATTAAGCCAAGAAGGTAACAACCCTAGTTGAATCAACAAAAGCTAAGTGGCTCCTTAACTGCAATACTTTTTCTGTTAAGTTCTGAGACTCTGTTAATTACCCAGGAAAAATTCACCATTGTGCTGCTAAAACTGGTTTTGTTTGTTTGTTTTTTAATATCTGCCTTGGGATTAGCAAATAAAATGTTACTTTTCAGAAACCAGTGGATGGTTCACAGCCCTGCATGAGATGTACTTTTTCTCTTTACAGGAAAAGCAAACTACAGTCTTAACTCTTATCCCCTAGAAAACATGTTGTGCATGGAGGTAAATTAATTTTAAAAACAACAGCAGTTCGAAAGTGAGAGAGGCTAAGGACAAGTTTGTCTTCTAACAACTTAATTGTCCAACCTACTGTCCAGTCTCTCAAACTATAACCAGACAGTTGTTCAAAATGATAAAAACAGCAACAGCTCCTTTAGGGCATAAACCCATAAAAAGGGGAGGCAAGGGCTTAGGGTTTTTTTGCAGCTGTAAGAACTGAACCCAGTACATAAGGATCCAATAGGTCTGGAGCAGCGCTGTCTAGAAGCAACAGTCCTAGCTCAATACCTCTTCACCTGCACACTATGCAGCTGCGACATCTTAGGAAAGCATGTTTTGACATGATTTATAGGAATAATCACAAAAACTGTAAGAAAATATGGTAAGCTAATGCAAACAAGCTATGCATAAACACAGCTGACAATATAAATCCATAGAAGTATATTATCTTCTGGCTTCCAAAGTGACTCATACATATAGCCAAAGAATTCTTACTGCCATCCTCAACAAATTTAGTAACTAAACTTCAACACATCTCCTTTCCTCCTACTATAATAAATAATGCCTACAAGTGCTTTCAACCTGATTAACCTCTCAGTATCTCAGTGCCCGTGATCTCTCCTCTACCCCGAAGTTTCACTTAGGAAGGCACTAGTTTTACAAAAGTGACAGCAGTATAAATGATGATATTGACAGGGACACTAAAAAGTGCTTGTTGCACTGGAGACTTTTAAAAGTTTTTACTGTTTGAATGTCCCAGGCTTGCATCTTGAATACAGTGGGTCTTGAAAAAGAATTGGGACAAATTATGCACGTTGGGGAAAAAAAAAAATCAAGCAGAACTGTTGTCTACTATGTACTGAAAGGGTTTCTTAAATTTGACAGGCTTACTACTTCAGGTTACATACTGCAAGATTACCACGTAATTGGAGTAATTCCTAGAGAATGTTCAACACTTGTCACTAGCTTTACCTGCTAGCTTTCAGGAAGAATTTAAATTCCTTTTATTTTCATCCTCAGTATTCCTCCCTGTGTCCATTACCCAATTTAAACAATAAGCTTCCCTCAATAGTTATGCACACACAGAAAGAATTAAAAAAAACCAAAGTTAGTAGCAAAACCTTTCAGTACATTTGTTAGTGATAGAGTTAAAAAATAATGTATCCATTCAAAAAATTTCATCGGCTGCTGAAATAGCTTGAATAGTTAGCAGGAGACTAAAATTAACAAAATGAAAATTCAATGTTTATTAGCAAGGAACATAGGCACTGCAAATACAAACAGCACTAAAAATAGTAGTTTAGGTTGCATCCGTGCAAGTTAATAACTAAAAAGGCAGTGAATACCAAAACCACTAAATACAAGATTCAATATTAGAACTTCTTCCAGAGTTGCATCTCTGCTGAGGCACAGCTACAGCTTAGAACCTAAAAACAGCTCTTCCTTCAAATATCACTTCTTGTTAGAAACAGTGAAACTTGATTTAAATCGATTCATACAGAAGTACTACTTTTGCCTCCTGAAGATACATTTGAGAATCCATGTATCCCCTTAAAAGTGAGCATCTCATGTAACAGAGACAATTCACAAATATCTGTTTGCACATCCAGGATGAGTTGTTTTAGATGATATACTGTACTTGCAGGCAGTGTAGTTACTTTCATGCATAAAAACTTAGTCACTAGTGCATGTTTATATTTACAAATGCTTATTCCTTTATGCAAGCCAATCAACTGGGAGTTAGTTGCAGTGCACATCCTCTTATCTAGATGCAACCCTAATCAAAATATGAATATACCTTTTCTGTTTCTTTTTAAACTTTTCTTCTTCATACCTTGGTGAGGAAAAGTTTGATTTCAGTAAATACAACATATGAAGGCCAAATTCAACAGGAGCTGCAAACTGGTATTAGCATCAATACAGTTTGTAGAAACATACCAAGTTTTGAAACTGATGTAATTAAGAAAAAATATATTGTACCTCCAACATTTATAAGCATTAAAGCAGCAGCATTAAGATTTAGTTACTATGACACATGAATTCAATACAACTTATTGTGCAATATTAACATCCATAATTAAAATTTAAAGTCTGTATTCGTAACAGTTTGAAGCCTGATATAATCCTCCACAGAAGTCTGAGAATCAACCAAGTTCAGCCTTTGCAGAACAGTTAAACATTCATCAATATAGAAATAAATCTTTCAAGACTTGAATATTCATAAGTCATCCCTCAAAAGCCCCAGTAAAAAAATATAAAGATAGTACAAGACTACTTCAGTGTTCTCATGCCTTTCCTCCCCACCCCAAGCAAATTGCATTTTCTCTGTTTTATAAAAACTTGAATTGTGCAACTGTTACCAGCTGAATGTTTACTGCAATAACCAGCCATTTGTGGAGGGGAGCGCATTTGTGGATTTGTCCACTATGGATGTGCCCCTCTGTCCACACCGTGACACTACGCCATCTTTCCTTATGGAGTTCCCAGTTTGTGGTCACGTATTGTGAGGCATACTCTGTAGGTTTTGTATGCTGTTTCTCTAGTAGGCTGATCAATTTATCATCAGAATTGATTATTATTTTTTATGTGGCTTTTTTAAAAGCCAAGTTTATGGTTTCCACTCTATTACTGCACCCATAGATCCTAATGACAAAAGTATCATCATCATCATATTTAAGAGCAGAGTTATGCTGACATTAAAATGGATATTTATATCTGGAGGGAAGGAAGAGGAGAAAACCAAGGACATTGATGCTGCCTTCACCTCTTCACCAAAGTAGTTTTAGAACTGTTATGGGTACAGATTCAGCATTTTTCCACCACAGCTCTTCTTTTAAATGAAATCCCAACCCAAGTGATGTTTCACCACTTAACTTGTTCCACATTTCAGTATGAACACTGAAGATACTATAGATAACTTCAGTATCAACATGCCCAGAATTTCCCACTCCCCAATTTCTCACAAGCCAGTTTAATATACTAAGGGGCAGAACAACTGGAATGAGGCCTTGTCTCAAGACAACTAATTCACACACCATAACTTGGTAACTACATAAGGCACCATCTGTGAAAATCCCTGTATGTTAACATTTTGACTGTCCATGCGACTGCATACCCAACTGTAGTTAGCAACGAGGTCAAATAGGGATACTCCTCCCAGGGATAGCAATGATCTCAGTTAAATTAAATTTTATTAAATGCAAAGTATTACATTCAAACCAATCACTGAATACAATATATACTGGTTCTAAAATATGACCAGTGTAGAACATGTTTGAATAACGAAACGTACTGTTTTATGCATTCTGGGATGCCAACGTATTCCATGGGGATGAGTTCAGCTAGTTCTGCCAGGGTAAAGACATACCTGATTTTTTGGCTGAATTTTGAGCTGTGGAAGAACAAATGCAGGGCACAGTTACAACTTTAAAAGTTTTCAGTAGGTCAATATTAAAACAATTTTGGAGTTTAAAATCAACAGTTGTTAGGATTGGTTAAAAAAAAAAAAAAAAAGAAAAAAGCTTCCAGACTATTACCTAATAAAGGGTTTTGTGATAGCCAGAAGTGTTCTGATGAACCAAGAAGGATGAACTATGATTAATGATTTCAGATTTTTCCTTAACCTGAAGAATTTAAACAGCAGACATAATTACTAAAACAAAAAGGCAGCATGACAAGGGGTTTTTTTTTTAAATATATATAAAAAGTAGGTGTTTTCAAGCACAACTGTCACATAAATCTAGTATTATGACATTCCATTATTAGAAATTACCATCTGCCAGAAGAAAAAATACCACACAACTGTATAGTCAAAATTTAAGATGTAGCATCAGTTTGACAACAATGACAAGGAAATAACATTCCAAAGATAAGTTCCTTTGAATCTTTTTATAAAACAAATGATGAACAGGTTCACAAAGGACCCCCTCTTATTACCTCATTATATTAATACATGAAGTTTTAAGGATATTCTGTGTGGTAATAGCATTCAGTATTCTAACACTACTCTTTTCACTAAAAAAAGAACCAACCAAAAACACACACACCAAAAAAAAACCACACACAAAAAAAACCAGGCATGCCTGTAGCATTATTCCACATTGTGTAGCTTAGGAAGAGGTTTTCAATGCACCAAGCAATTTGCTTACTTAAATCTTAAGCAGTAGGTACCAGACACCTCATTAAACAGCAGTTTTTCCTAAATACATAATCACTGAGCGTGTGAATATTTAAAGAAAACACTGTAGAGTTTCTTACCTTCTATCAATCTGCTGGTAACATTTCCTAAGCCAGCCTAAACTTGGCATTTTTCTCCGTGTTGTTGCACCATTCAGGTAAACTATCATATAGTTCTCTGCTACTAACAGCTCTAAAGTGCCAATTACATACCTGCAGACACAAGCAAAGAAAACTTTCAAGGGAAGATCTGTGGATATTAAAGTAATTCCTAGTAACTCCTCAAACATTAAAAAAAATATATAGTTGGCAAGAGTGTTAAGCAACATCTAATAATTTTTTTCCTTCCCCTGGAAGCAGATGTAGTTCCTTTTCTATTTGTTACCCTTCCCTCACTTGAAATACAAAAAGCTTAATTAAAAAAAAAAAAGAGAGAGAAGTAATTGCCCTTACATTAAAAACTAAGTTTCACAATGCAAAGTTAAGACAGTATTCAGAGGCAGATGACTTACTTAAATAGATTGTCCATTAGGTATCTGTAGTTAGGCTGGCTGCTTTCAGGCATAAAGCAAACCGCAAAAACAACAATGGCATTTAACCCATCGCCATAATAACCTACAAACAAAGAAAAAAGTATAATAACCTACAAACAAAGAAAAAAGCAGCAGTAGTAACAAAGGTGACTAAACATTGACTACCTTTACACAAAGCCAAGCACATTCAGCAAGCTTTTTCATTAGTCACCTTAAAGAGATTTACAAACATCTATTCTATAGGGATAGATTCATACAGTTACAGAAAACCTCAATATTTCTTTTTTTCAGGTTTGTTTACTTCTAAAGAAATAACTGAAGTTGAGGCAAAGCAGATGCTGTACCTACAACCAACATCTCAGGTTAGAATCTCAGTATGTTTAATAGCATTTTATATAGTCAACTCTTCTTCCAACCTGAACTCCACAAACTCCCAACAAAAATGTTGGGAAGAATCATGATCTACAGTTAATGCTTTCAACACTCTTAAAACCAAAAAATTATACTGGTAGCACTGACACTGTAAAACAGATAGGTACATCTTCTTACAAATGTGCATGTTAGTAGCTTCATCTGAACGTGTGTACATCTCAGATCTTTAGTTTAATAGGGAAAAATACTAAAATCAATCATATGCCTTAATACCGCAAGAAATGAATCATCACATGAGTCTTTATGCCCAAAGCTCTTCCTGTGCCACCCCAACTCAGCTTAGAGTAGTTTCTCAACAGTTCCCCTCAGCACATCACTCATTCTTACCACCGTGACTGATAACTTTTTTATATGGTTCTATTGCCTTCATGTCCACCCTATGGTCCTGTTCTCCAATCCTAAACATTCGCCAGCGTCGACCATCATCTTTCTCCTCTGCTGCAGTGTATTCAGTAAGTGATCCTTTCCTAATTACATCAGTACTTTTTGGTTTTGGAAGATCATCTGCCAAAGTTAAAACACGTTCAAGATCCAATATGAATACTATGTATAGTGACAATTAATTACAACTCAGGTTAACCACTTTGCTATCTCATCTATTTGAATATTCTTTAGCCAGTCAGACGTATCAGCTGACTTAGTTCCGTCAATCATTACAGAATACGATCTCACAGGTGTCCAATATATTTTATCAGAATACCCTATGTTGGCAGTTCCATTGACTGTAATTTTCTATGTTTAAGTGCATGACAAATTTCCATTCATGTAGGAAGTCTATTTAATTGTAGGCTTTCAGAACACAGACCTTGATGAATCTCACCAAAACAGACAAAGTGGTTAACTCCAATGATAATTACACAGGTTGCTTGATCACAGATTTACACAAAAAAGCATGATTTAAAACATTGACAGTACCTTGCAAGCAGACATGCAGGCAAATCTACTAGAAATTAAATAAAATTCACATCTGTGCAATCAATAGATACGAAATTTATGCTGACAGCAATCTTTAAAACAATTTGCTCCAATTAAATTATGATTCTTGACTTTGTAGCATAAACCTTACCCAAAGCGAGAAAAACCTACTGCAAGTTAGTTGTCTGTTCCCAAGACAAAGCTGTTAATTGAAACTATCCTTCCAGGAAAATGAAGGCAGCAGCATTAAAGGAAGAGAAGACAGAAACCCTTTTCAGCCACTTTTAAAAACAAGGCACAAACATCCGGAACATTTCCTTCGAATCATTGCAAAACTAACCCTAAACACCAATTCTTCTTCACTGAAATGATGAAAATCCTTTCACAAAGGTAAACCCATAGCCTGTTATGAAAACTTCACCTGCAATACATCTTTAGCTATTAAAAAAAAAAAATCCTTATTTTAAAGAGCGTTTCTTTCTCCATTTATAAGCTATCTTGGCAGGTAATGTTTTGTATATAACAGTGAAAAGAGAGCTTCCTATTTCATCAGGAATCATAACTATTTTATTTCCAGATTAAAATAAAATTGGCTTACATAAAAGGGCCTTAAAACATAATTAAACTGCAAGTTTAAAGCTTGCACTTTAACTCCTGCAGAGAGCTTTTTTACCTCAAATAAAATTTGTCGGAATCTCCAGGTTTTGCCTACAAGGACAGGGTGAAGTGTCTATTCACTTCTTAATTTTAAGGTCATTACTAGTGTGATTATAGCCAAGTTAAATTCCTCTCAGGTCATTTCAGAATTCCTTGACACAAAACAGAGGCTCTTCTACCACTTCCAGTCAATCTGGAAAGCATGCAAACTCTAAGGCTACTGACCTTTTGCCATTCTCACCACAGTAAGCTATGAGATCAGGTGTTACTCAATATTTTTAAAAATACAGTTCAGTCCTCCTTAAATACAAAGGCTTGCAATTCATCAATTTCTGACTAGCTAATCTATAATCTATATCCCTTTATATGCTTCACCTCCATTTAAAACTGATCTATAATACATGCAAAACATCTCTGATATTTATTTTTGCCAGGTTGGTTCTTAAAAACAAAGAGGATTTTCCATAATTTCAAGTCTTACAAGTTTTTAATGACATTAACCTAAGTTTCTTTGGAGTTACAGCTGTTATAATATTGCCTGTTTGCTAAGCAGCCAAAGTCTGATTTGCTCTTTAAAAATTAATTGTGCCCATTTCCAATTTCTAATCTAATCACTCTATATTTTTCCTCTTGTAATATTTAGTCACAGTTATTTCCCACCTGAAAAACTGTTGATGTGCACATAAGGGAATAGAAATATTTTAGGGCATCAGACAAAAGTAACAAAACACTTACCTTCCCATTCAAACTCATTGCTGTTTTCTGAAGGAGTATCTAAATCGTCCAAATCAATCTCTCCACTCTCATCCAAGTCATCAGACAAAACAGATTCCTCACTGTGATCCAAAGTTAAGCTAATATCTGGAGCCGTTAGTTTCTTCCTCATTTTGGTTCCATTAACGTCTGTATTTAAAAAAGCAAATTATTTCAAAGCTAAAGCAAGTTTAGATAAGCGTATTAACAAGACAGAAGAGCACAGAGCTTTCTCAGAATGCATTGTAAGTTAGTGCCCATAATTTAAATTATGTATCTTTGAAATAAGAATCAAACACAGGGTGACAAGAACAGCACTTGGAGGTCAAAGTTCTCAAGACCGTAAGTTTACCTCATTGCATGCACACTATGATCCCAGTGGTAGATCACCATGCTCCCTACAGAAGAAAAACCTGACGTGCTGCCACCGCGTAAGCAACTATTACCCATGCTAGCTGTAGCAAAGCAAACCACAAGTTTTTCTAGATACCACACTAAACAAGGCTTGTAAATAATGCAATAGATTCATGTCCTTAGCCCTTGTTTTTGTTAGGTATTAGTAAAATCATAACCACCTCTGATGAAATTAAAAATGATATGCAAGCTGTGAAGAAAAAAGGAAGGCTGACAGACAACAGTAATGACAGAAAATTCAAGAAACTATGAGGTGAATACACAGCATGCTTTGAGACAAGGCAAATACTTGCGTGGTTTAGACAGCAGTTGAAAGCAGGAAATAAAGCACAATGACCGATCCAGCACTGGAAATGCCACAACTAAAGCTGACAGGCAAGATGCAAAGAATTTAAAAATGTAAAGAAAGCATCTGCTATTATTTTCCCTCTGACCATATGGACAGGCAATGTTCTTAAAAGGCCACAAAGTTCTGGAATTTGGAGGGAAACTAAGGTAGGCCCTAACTGATACAAAGAAGCCAAACAAACCAAGATTTTAGGACAGGTCAAGAAGTGAGTCCAATAGTTCATTTTTGTCCAGTACTACCTGGATAGCTCTATTCACAGGGAGGATGAAGAGTCTCATATTTTATTCCCAAACCCTTTTCTTTCTAGACAAGAAATAATACCCTTCACATACAAAAATGTCATTTAGAATGCTGTTTCTGCAAGCCTGACTCAAAAAAAACCCAAACAAAAAATACCTCAGAACACCCTAAACCAAAACGGAGCTTTAAAATAGTCACCCAGGGAAGCAGTCAGCTTGACTGGAGGGCAATGTTCTTACCAGCTTCACTTGCTGTTCCAGCTGCAGCCAATATATCTGACTCAACAGGATCATCCTCCGGCAGGGGCCTGGTACACAAAGTAGAAACTACTGTTACAAACCCTTTTTTTTCCTTTATTTAAATTGCCAGCTAAATGCCAAATATTTATACTTATGCACTGCTAAAAAAAACCATTGTGGGATAGCACTGAACTAAATTTACTTATACCTCAAGTTCCAGCTTTCAATAAACAAAGCACAAAAGTAGCAGAAAATTCCTTTACAGCACGAACAGTCACTTGAATGTGACAAATGCCATAGCGCGTGTCATCTTTAAGAAAACTTGTCATATTGTTGCTTGAGAAAATTTGACATCAAACACACTCCAGAAGCAGTTTAGTCATGTTATTATAGAATGGTTTAGTTTCTCTGTAGGCCCAAGTATCACCAGCGGTTAAAAATCTTGCTCAGAAACGTTGCTTAATGAAATATTTGGACAAACAGTGTAGTTGCAAAAGATTACCACAGAAAACAAAGCTAAACTTACAAATTTTCACTTTAGTAACACTGGAAACTTCAACAGTAGCATTCCTGTATTACTTAACTTACATATAAACACGAAGTGATCCCTTTCCAGACCATAAACCAAACATGGCCCAAAGCCTTTTCAAGACTATTAATGGAAATAACTGCAAAGCAAGATTATTATTGAGTGTTAGCTGAGCAGAAAGATAAAGAGATTGCTTATTCTGGGTTATGCATTTGATTTGAATTACTTAAAAAAAAAAACTCTGGGTTATGCATTTGATTTGAATTACTTTAAAAAAAAAAAATCAAAAACCTTGGAAAATCTTCATCTTGCCATTCTTCCTTAAACTCAACACCTTCCATTCTCCAGCCAACTGGAATTGCTAATAGAGACTCCTGATCAGCCAGAACCTCTTGTCTGCAGGACAGTGGGCTAAAGAGAAGCTGTAGGAACGTAAGGTAAGATGCTAGTTCAATACCATTGTAATTACCATACTTGCAACACATCCTTTCACTTATCACCAAGTTGAGGTATTATGCACCAAAAAAAAAAAAACCACCCAGGGAAAAGTTTATGGTTTGTTTCAATTTTCTTTTTTTTTTTTTTTTCCTCCATACAAATCTGCTTACGGAATGGTTTATCACGCAGTCACTTAGGTTGGAAGGGATCTCATGCAGTTCAATGCCCTGCTCAAGCAGAATCAACCTCTCAGTTAGAATCAAGGCCCTGAACAACCTGATCTATAATTTAGGATTACACCAGTTCACTCCAAAACGTAAGAAACCTGACCATGCTCTGGATTCTATAGGAGACACTAAATAAGTGTGATTTTCAGGAAAAAAAAAAAAGCCCCAGATAGTCAGATTTAAAATACAGCCCAGTTCTTAAAAAACAAACAACCCCCCAACAGACCCTTTAAAGATAACTCTATCTCACAAAGTATTTTCAGAGAACTCACCCTGGGATGTGCAAGTCAAGCTGTGTTTTTACAGGCTCACCCATCACCAGCAACAGTGAATCCCCAATAATGGAACATAAACCATTCTGCTGACATACGAGTCCAAGCCAGTTGAAACTCTTGGCTGCGCAGGCTCTAAAGATTGGCAGGAACAGGCAAACTTATCAATGAAGATGTTCAGAAAACGAACATTAATCAAAACAGGAAACTGAATTCTATTTTTTAAATGCAAAAAAGCAATCAACACAGAACACCAGTAAGTACAAAGTTTGAATGCAATCATACTGCTAATCAAGCCAGAGAGACAGTTTATTTTTCACATGGTTAAAAAGAAACAAGTTACGCTTACTGTTCTGTAGGATCACCTTTCACAGCAAATCTGCATTTCTCTTCTCCTGACCCGATTACAAGCAGAAACTGATTTAAAAATGTCCTGCAATGCTTAAAGCTACACTACAAAAGCTGATTAATGAAAAAAAAAAAGCAAACTGATTTTTTGTAAAACTGCAGTACTAGAGACAAATTAGACACTAATGACCAAAATTTGAGCTTACTTTCCAGACATTTCCCTGCTTCCCTCACTCATGAAATTGAAATAAAATTTTCAGAAGGTTCTTCTTAAGGGTCAGACTCTGCTTGTTTGAATTGTTCAGCCCCTGCACTGCTCAGCTGCTGGCAGTATGTGCTTGTGCACGCAGTCTCCAAGAAGTTGCCCCCAGCAATTATCCTCCCAGCTCTCCCTCTTTCTATTTGTCCTTTTTGACTAATACACTGTTTGGAGTAGTTTCTTGCTGCTTGAATCATATGACTTTCCTCATGAAACATGTCCTCTCTTTCATTAAGATGTTCATATTCTCAGCATACAGTTTCTCCTGGGTATTAACCTGCTGAGCGTTTGCAAGAATGAATTTTAAATACTTGCTTGGAGAAAAGATGACATTCTCCTCTGTAGTAACAGTCAATATACGCATAGTTCTTTATGCATTTGTTTCAGGAGACTCAGCTGAAGCACGAGAAGTTTCACGAGGTACCACACACAGTCAAGAGAATGTGGTGGTTACAATCAGTATGGCATGGACCATCTGATGCAAACACACTGTAAACAGACACTAAACCTAAAAGAAAACCTAAACTGATGACTTTATTCTTAAGGGAAATATGAAGAAATTAAGAAAACCAACAGTAAAAAAAACCCACCAACCAATCCTATCACTGGGCTGGTGGCTCTAAAATGCTACTCTTGAGCTTGTCTTCACTGCATTCACAATGCAGTTCCCACACGGAAGTTTAAAGTAGGGTTTTGCTTCAAGACCTGAACAGTTTTCTCACCATGCTTTTGAAGAATACCAAATACCAAGTAACATCTATTCATTTCAGATGCACAGCATTTCAGTGCAGAAGCAACTCCTACCTGCTTCTATTTCATGACATCGAGATAAACTTCATACACTGAGAGGGGCATGGAGTTTAAAAGTTACTCATGCTGTAATCAAAGTTTAAGACACTTACAAAACACTTCTCCCATTACTTACAGAATTCTGATATTCTTTATTTTAAAATACTGCTTAGTACAACTGCAAACAGCTTACATGGCAAGTTCCAAGTTCAATATCAGATAAGCTTAAATTTAGGTTTTCAGCATCCTAGTTAACATGCAGGCTAACTAGCTCTTTTGGAGAGCTCATGTACAAAAGCACTATAATTTGTCAACCAGAAGAATGAGAAATTAAGGAGGAAGGGTCATCTCAGGAAAGTTAGAAGAGTGCTGACTTTAAAGTTAACTACTGAATAATTTTACATCACTAATAAAGATGCTTGCAAAGCAGGGGAAGAAAATATCTACTATTTCTGCTCGTACAAACTCAAGCAGAGTTTAGCACAATCTTCCTACAGCTGCTGTGGTAATGCTGACATCTGCTGTCTTTGCTATGCAAAAATATCCTTTTAATTCAGCTGCAAATCAAAGATCTAAAAGCTTACCTGGAAAAATGTATTGATATATCGTAATAATGCAAGTATTTATCAGCCATTTAGAAGAAAACAAATTAATTTCTACCTGATCCTAGCTCTCTTCATGGCCAACTCAAAAAGCTGTAGTTTCCAATAACAGCAACCCTGATCATTTTCACTCTCCACTGCTCACTGCTTTCCATTTTAGTTAAAGAACTGGAATCAGAAGATTGGGAGCTATCTAAAGGTCAGAAACTTTAACACATCGCAGAACATCTGGATGCACGATGGCCAGGTGGCTCAGCTCTCTTAGTGGAACCACTGGGCTCTGGTGCTCAACAATGCCTTTTATACCTTTAAGTATCTCAACAGACCAGTTACGATATTACAAGAAGAAAAAAAGTACCACAAAGTAACATATCCCTAGACTCCACTACTCTTCCACTGCAGCTAACCAATGGATTTCCATTTCCAGAACAGTCGGTTAAACCTACTTAAGTTCGCATCTGAAGAGTGTTATTACTGCTTGCACCAGAAGTCAAACATCAGTGTTCTCATCCTTTTTCCTGGAAAAATAGACAATTTTAAGAGTTCTCTCATTAATACTGAGACGGCTTAGTTACCATAGGTGCTGGAATACCAAATACAACAGTGTTAAGAAGCCTGTTATAAATAGCCATTTTAAAAAATTTAGTTTACAGCTAAACAGACTCTTATCTGTCCCAGCTACTTAAAAAAAAAAAAAAAAAAGACAACAGAATGCATGAGATAATTTTATTCACAAAGTTAAAGACCCCTTGCAAAAATTATTTTTTAGGTTTTCACACTTGAGTTCTCAGAAGAACACACAAATTAGTAGAAGTTACGCATTTATATGGTCGTGCCTGCCTATCCAATACAAAGACCTATATTCAGTCCTTGAACAGCACTTCAGCATCTGAAGTGGAATAGCTATACAGCTTATTTTGCAAGACAATTGCAATGATGAGCACACTCCTGAATTATGTACCTGGTGGGCAAAGAACAGCATGCTGTTTCAGTCTCAGGTGAAATTAACTTCAAAAAAAGGTTAGCCTACTTTTTTCTCCATTTCACCTTCAGCATTTCAACAGAAGCTACTCAGTTAACTGAGTGTTAGTTAACAGAATTTCAGGTTCCAGGCATTAAAGAGGTGCCTCTAAGAGTATTTTTCACATTTGATTTTACAGCAAGCCAAAAGTAAGGACACAGATATATTTTCAGGTACACACATCCATGCAGTACAGCTCACTATGATTTCTCAATGTTTTTATAACCCCATTGGCCTCTGGAATGTGGACACACTAGCCATGATACCAGGAAACATTTCCCAGATCTGCAGATGGACATCTGAACTTCATCACCTGCAAGCCTGTACAATGAGGTGATGCAAGGACTTCATCAATAACAAGTCAATTCTTCATCTCCTTTTACTCCCTAGTCTCAGCCTCGAAGCACAGAGAAACCAGTCAGCTAAAAGAGAAAACTTTTGAAACTTCCTGCTTCCATCTCCGAGGGTACTCCTGTAAACTCTACATTCAGAGCAACAGAAGAATCTGCATTTCTGAATCACTGAGACTCCTTTAAAGGTAAATACTAACTTGTTACACAACAGCCCCCCCAAAAATCATACCCTGCCTAGAAACAACCAATATTCCTTTGTCAGGTTCAGACACACATACAGCTTAACCAGCAGCACTCCCCGCCGCCTGAGCGCACTGCACCCGGGGCTGGCAATCGGGAGGCGCCCAGACGAGAGGCCCTGGAGCGCAGCTCTCGCTTCTCGGCACAGCTCTGGCCCTGTGCTGGGACCTGCTCCGCTCCGTACCCAGCCCCTCGAGAGAAAGGAGGGCGGACACTCACCCCCACCCCGTTCGTGAGAACAAGGCCGAGGCTGCGCCGCGCTGGGGTGGCCGCGCTGCGGGGCACGGGAAGCGATTTCCCGGGGTAACACTGACGCGCTCAGCTCTCCCCCCCCGCTGTCCCGCTCGGCGGAGGAAGCTGCGGACGGG